CACATGCCACTTCATCCCCGACCCTGGGTGCTGAGCCGGTGACTTGAGTCCTGGCGTGGTGGCGCATGCTTGTAATCCCAGCACTGGGGAGGCTGAAACAGAAAGATCACTATAAATCCAAGCTGCATAGCAAGACCCTGCACTGAATGCATTAAAAACAAAAACAAGGGGCCAGCCAAATAGCTCAGTGGATTAAAGTGCAGGGGTCGGGGGTTTGATCCCCGGGCCTGCTGTGCCAGCCTGCTAAGGTGGTATGCTAAGGTGGCAATTGAGACTGGGCGTGGTGGCACACACCTGTAATCCCAGCTCTTGGCAGGATTAAAAACAGGCGGATCATTACAAGTCCAATCTAGCAGTGAAACCTGAACACCCTGTAGACCCTTCCCTAAAATACAAACCAAACAAACAACCAAGCAAACAAATAAACAAAAAAACCCCAGAAATGTCTAGGTAAAGATGGTTTTACTGGAACATCTCACCAAACATTGAAATAGGAATCAACACCTATTTTCTTTCATAAAATAGAAGAGGATGGAACATTTTGCAATTCATACTATTAGAGTAGTGTTATCCTGATATGAAAACCAGACAAAATGCAAAAGAACAGAACCATAAACTAATAGCTCTCATGAATACAGATGTCAAAAATCCTTAACAAAATAATAGCAAATATGAGTCAGCAATATATTTTAAAATTATACAACATGATAAATGGAGTTTTTTGCAGAGATGAAGGCTGGCTCATTATTTGAAAATCAGTCAGAGTCATTTATTATCTGAACAGATTCAGGAGGAAAATCACACAACCACATCCATTGAGGCAGAAAAAGTGCTTGACGTAGCATTTATTCATGATTTAAAAAAAAAAAAAAAGCTCCCTGAAAATTCCTCAATTTGCTAAGTATCAGCTATGAGATGTCTATAGCTAACACTGTTCTTAACATTGAAAGACAATGTTTTCTTTCTAGAGTTGGGGATACCACTGTTGTTCAACATAACGCTGAACGTTCTAGCAAAGGCAATAAGGCATGAAAGAAAATAAAAATCTCACAGGTTAGGAAGGGCTACACTAACTGCACTTACTTGATGATAGTATTGTGTATGTAGAAAAATCCAAACAATCCTCCAAAAGCTGGTTAAGACCTAGTAAATGAGTTCAGCATAATCTTAGGCTATAAGATGAAGATGCAAAATCAATTGTATTTCTATGAACTAGTAATGAAAAATTGGATAAGAAAATTAAAAGTGCAATACCATTTATATTAAAAACTGGACATAGGATTAAGTCTAATACAACATTTTCAAGGCTATCTACTCAAAACCATAAAATACCAATGAAAGAAAACAATGATATTAATAAATGGAATGACATACCATGTTCATGGATCAAAATACAAAGCATGAAGATATTAATTCTCAAGTTTGTATAAAGGCTCAATACAATTCCTATAAACATTTCCACAAGATGTCTGATGGATACAGATGTTTGCTTGCAGGAAATAGTTTTTATTGAAAGTTAGAAGAGACTAGTAGAGTACACTGGCTTGAACAGCTGACAGGAACCCCTCTGATGACGTGTTTCACATTTGACTCCCTGTAGAGGCCGGAGGCTAGCGTTAAAGGTCAGCTGCTGGCCTGGGGTCCAGCCTATTACTGCCAGAGGCCTGGTTTCCTAGCTCCAGAATTCTCCTGGCTGAGAGGTGGTTCTGTCCCTGTGGAAGGACCATCTCTGATTGTGGTGGTGTTGATCACATGGGCTTCTGTTTTCTTGGAATTCAATGGACCACTGGTTTAGAAGATGGCTAGAGACTTCTGCATGTCCCTGTAAACGTCTGGTCTGGGTGGTCTCAGTCTTGAAGATGGATGATCGTGCAAATTCAGGGCCAACATGCCAGCATGTAGAAAGGCGCTCCCCAAGTGATCAATGTATCTAAATGGAGAACTGAGAGGAGAGCTCACTCAGATGTACAGGAACAGAGAACTCATTGTGAGGGTCCAGCCTTACTCTGTTTTTGGTTACTTTGTGGGCATCTGTAGATCCAGGTGAAGGGTTGTGCTTTATAGCAAAAATGGTTAAGTACCTGACTCCACAGGGGGAAAAAAAATCCACAAATAATGTTTTTTTATGTATTTGGTATAGGGAGAGGGTCTCTCTCTCTCTCTCTCTCTCTCTCTCTCTCTCTCTCTCTCTCTCTCTCTCTCTCTCTCTCAACATGGTCTTGCTGTATAGTTTAGTTTGGTTTTCAACTCATCTATATATCCCAGACTGGCCTCAGCTGCACAGGGATCCTCCTGCCTCAGCCTCCCACATGCTGGGATGATAGACATGTGTCACCATGTCCAGCACAAATAATGTTTTTACTGAGGACAAGGGAAGGACCTGAGATTGACTGTTCTCTGCCCAGTAGTAGTCTCTGACTATGCCATAACTACATCAATTTCAGGACTGATTTTTTTTCCAGAATTCTCTCAGGACTGACTTGAGGAAGGGTGATGTTTAGGCTGCCAACTTCCACTTCATTATGGTTCTCTGCACAAGTCCAGCTGGATAGTAGCCATCACTACGGCTCCTTGCAGTAGTGAACGGGAAGTAATAAAAAAGTTCGTGTTTATTAGACATTGTTAAATAAAAGTCCAATTTGAGAGCTACTTTACAAAGTATATAATAAGGAATAAATTGTTTTATATTACATGTTAGACAGGTAATTAGACATTAGTGTGCTGGGGGGAATAGCATGCTTTGCCAATGATAGGTGAAAAAAGATTTTAATGTGTAATATATTTATAATCATTTGTAAGGCCTGAGACCTAAAGCATCCCCACAGGGTTAAAATTTATATGGAAAGAAAAAGAAAATAGAACAAGTAAAACAAATTTATAAAAGAAGAAAAAGGGCATGAATCATAGTACCCTACTTCAAGACTTATTTACAGCTATAGCAATGTGGATTGTGTAGTATTAGTTGAGGGACAGAGACATAGATCATGAAATAGAATAAAGTCCCGGAAATGGACTCATACTTATATACCCAACAAAGTTTTGACACATGTGCCTACTGCAGGGATGAAGACTGCGACTTCTTTCATGGCCTGCTTTCTCCCGAGCCAGCTTTGTTCTCAGGCTGGATGGCAGCAAGATGGGCCCTGACGGCTCCTGGTTGGAAAGCCAGCAGGTCAGCACCTACGAGACAGAAGCATCCTGGTCCCACGTGACTTCAGCCAGAGCCCTGGGGTTGAGTCTCCTGGGCCTGACCTGGGTCACATGGCCACACGAGAACCAGCGACTGAGGCCAGAGGAGACAAGGCTCTCATTGGCTGGGTCTAGATCATGTGCCTACCCTAGAGGCTGGGATACATTGATGATGGAAGGAAGGAAGGATGGAATAGTCAGCAGATCCGGAAAAGCCAAGATACCCTAAGATCCCAGAATAAGTCTGTTCTACCATTGTCCCCTTTCAAGGTCTTAATAGCAGTAAGAGGGATACCAAACTGAGTTGGGGTGTTCAGCTCCACTGCTTAGGATGCAGCATCTGATCACACTGGCTCGGTTACGTGTCCAGCCTCTATCCAGTAGGGGAGTATCGTACTGGAACCACTAGTGCTATGAGAGTTATTAGAGAGACTAGGATGACAGCCTATAAACACTTGGGGCTTCTTAGAAACTAGATGAGCTCTTCACCACAAAGAGTCTGGGGAATTTGTTAATGGGATTGGCATTGGAGGAAATAGATGATTATTAAAGATCCCGTTGAGAAAGGCAGAACACTCAGACGTCCCTTTACTTTCTGTCTGGAGCATCTGTGGGGCTGAGAGAGAGCAGCAGTGGTAGAAGAGGTGGCCACCCTGACTACAAGGGATGCAGGGATGTGGGCAGCTAGCAGGAGGGGAGGCCTGGAGCTCTCAGCCGTGTAGGACTGGGGTAGCAAACCTGAGACTTTGATTTGGAGGAAATCTGTCATGAGCAGGAACCTAAAGAGCAGAGATCTGGAAACCAAGCCAGGTGCAACTAGATCCAAACAAGAACCCCACTCCTGGCACTAAATGTGGATTACAGTCTTGGGCATAGACATCAGGCTGAAATGCTCCCAGCTGGGACTCCTAGCTCTGTCCCTTCTCTTTATTCTTTAAAGGTATGGTTAGGACAGTCTCCAGCTTCATGCTGGGCCCTGTATGCACACCATGTGAGGGCAGCTAGGCATCCTTACCAGGGTAGAGAAATGTGGTGTAGACAGTCAAACAAATGGCCCTAACTTTAATCTTCTGAGTGAGCAAGCTTGGAAACCAAGTCATGGAGATGCGGGTAGTAAGCATGTCAGCATAGTGAGGACAGTAAGGAGAGCAAGCCCTTCCTAAGAGCCTCTCAGGTATCAGCAATATTCTAGGAGGTGTTTAATGGCTCGTGTCCTTTAATTTGTAAAAAGGCCCAGGGCAGAGCTGTTGCTATGTCCATGGAAATAGACTAGGGAATAGGAGGCCAAGAGGCTTAGAGTCTCACCTGAGGTCACCCATGAACAAAAGTAACTCATGAAGAGTGAACTGCCCTGGGCTCCTTCTCCATCCCCGAATCAAATAATTATATCCTCACTCCGGTATCCCGACCTCCCATGGACTGTGGCTATTCTCTCCTGAATCCTCTCTGCCTGTACACATGCCGGTCCTTTCTCCTGGAATGCCCCTCCTTGGCCATTTTCTCTCATCCGTCCAGGCTCAGCATAAGCATCACTGTGTCCTGGTAGTAGTCACTGATGCAGCCCCCTGGCCAGAATGACTTGCTGTCTTCTTACTTCTCTGTGATGACTGGACCCCAGGACATGGGTTGTTCCTTGTTCCAGATAAGACTGTGCATGGAGGCTCCTCCAGGTTTTCTCTTCTCTGGGCAGCAGTGCCCACAGGCTGGCCTCATGGAGGCAGCCAGGCAGGGATGAGTGAATGTTGGGTGGCTGGGGGATTGTCTGTCCCCACCCAGCCTCACTGTGGCATCTCTCTCTTGCTCTCTCACAGCCTGGCGTGGGGCTCCTTTACCTGCTGCATGGCAGCCTCTGTCACCACTCTCAACTCCTACACCAAGACAGTCATTGAGTTCCGGCACAAGCGCAAGGTATTTGAGCAGGGATACCGGGAGGAGCCGACCTTCATAGACCCAGAGGCCATCAGGTACTTCCGGGAGAGGTCAGTGCACGTGGTGTCATCGATGGCCACCACTGGGAATCTGGAGCCCCAGGCCTGGCCTCTGCAGTCACAGTGACCCTTTGAAAATCCTGGAGGGAGCTGCCCAGAAGGTGTCTTGGGAGCTGTGGGAGATGGGATTTGAACTTACTGTGTTGGAATTTCTGGGGCACTGAAGGTTTTGTGGGGTTTGAGGTTATCTTTGTCTTATGTGATTGGACCACAGTAAGCCCAGAAGGGACCAAACTTGAATGCTTGCCATTCAGCCCCATGCTACTTGAGCTATGACACAAAGCCTGACCCAAGGCTTCCCACCTGGACCATGTCTTGGCACTAAGTGAAGAGAGGACCCAGCAATGGGGCCCAGCAGTGCATAGCCACTAGAGGGCAATGGCTCCTCGAGGTCAAGATCTCCTGGATCTCCAAATTCCAGCTGGGATCAGAGCAGATAGAAATACATCATGACTGGATAGATAAATAGGTGGATAGAGGAGGGATGGGTAGTTGAATGATTAGAGAGGTGGGTGGATGAATGGGTAATAGATGGGTGGATGACTGATTGAGTGGATATTCAGGTTTATGGGAGGATAAATAGGCAGTGAGAGAAGTGAATACATTAATAGAGAAGGAAGAATAGAGTAGGGAGGCAAATGGATAAGTGGATGGGTGAGAGGATGGAACAATAGTTACTTGGGTGGGTGGCTAAGTAGTTAAGTAAAGGGGTGGTTAAGTAGGTGGAAAGATTAATGGGTGGATGGAGGGATGAGTGGGAGGAAAGAGGCAGATGGATAGATGAATGGATGGGTGGATAGGTGGATGGATGAATGGTTAGCGTGAGCAGATAAGTCAAAAGCAGAAGCATAGATGAGTGGGAAAGTAAGTTGATGGAGGGAGGGAAAGAGGTAAGGAGGGAAGAAAGGATGAATAGAAGAGCAGAAAGAAGGATGGATGGATGGATGGACGGATTGGTAGATAGGTGGGTGGATGGATGGATGGATGGATGGATGGATGGATGGATTGGTGAATGGGTGGATGGATAGATGGATGGATGGGTGGATGGATGGATGGATGGATGGATGAATGGTTAGTGGGATGGATAGGTGGATGGGTGGGTGGGTGGGTGGGTGGGTGAGTGAGTGAATGGGTGGGTAGCTGGCTGGGTGGGTGAGTGGATGGATGGATGAATGGATGGATGGATGGATGGGTGATGGGTGGGTGGGAAGATTTCAGAAGCATAGGCAAAGCTTTTCCCTGATGCCTTGTTCTGATGAAGACACCTGAAACCTGGGGTTCCTGAGCCTCCCTCCAAGGACAGAGCCCTGCACCTCTCTGTGCCCCTTCACCCTGCAGTGCTCTCCCAGCTCCACCCAAAGCTGCACCTGTGGGTCAGCTACCACAGCTGCTCCCTGCTCAGTGCCACCAACATCCCTTTAGCTCTGTCCTCTCCTGGCTAAGAGAAGCACAGGTCTGCCCCATGTAACCACAGCCTGGTGCTCCGGCTGCCTCCCTGGGCTGTGTCAGTTGATGGTAGCAGGGATGGGAATGGGATGGCCCAGTCTCACATCTCACTCACCTGCCTGTCCGGCCTGGCCCTGTTCCTGTAGGATCCAAGAAGGGGCGGGTCTGAGCCTGGGCACCCTACTCCCTCCATCGCCTTTTGAGCTGACTTTTTCTTCGAGTACTGGGGTTGGGTCCCAGGCTCTTGCCACACTGAATGTGCACACTGAATGTGCTCCCCAGCCTGCAGCATCCCTCATGTGAGAGGAGAGGAAGGACAGTCACTTGCACCAGAGCCAGGCCTGGCTGCTGTGTGTGGAATCCCGCTGTGTACCAGGCCTGGTGCCCAGGGGTCTGATTTTGTGCTCACTCCCTCTTCTTTCAGGGAGATCTATTTGCCTTGGAGAAGCAAAGACACATCCTTGAAGTTGCCCAGTGATGGGCAGAGAGGGTTGGGCACCAGGTCTGTGAAGTTGTCTCCAAGATCAAATAAACTCAGAGGTAGCAATGTCTCTGGCTGGGCCTGACCACCCCGGCAGAGGAGGCAGAGTCAGGATGAAACCCGGGCGGCTGCTTGAGTCTACGCAGTACTCACTGGTTGAGTGCAGCCAGGGCTGCTGAGAATTCAACCCTCGGCGTGGGGCATTTCTGAGCTCATGGCAGGGAAGTGTACAAGACTGGCCCCTGCTGTGGTGGGCAGAGCTGCTGGAGCTGCAGCCTCAGCTTCCTGCCTCCTGCGGAGACAGGCCAGGGTAACCCAGCACCCAGGCTCACCTTGCCCCAGCCATGGAAGGCAGCATCGGCCAGCACAGCTGGGTCCCAGAGTAGGTGCTTCACTTCTGCAGCAGGAGCAAAACGGCCTGAGCCCTGCCCGTGCCCGCTGGGCCCTGTAGCATTGTCACCCTGGCTGTCGGTGACGAGCCTCTGCAGCATCTGGGGTGGGGGTTGTCCGCGTTCTGCGGAGGAAATGCCTCGGACCTGGCTGTCCCCCACTGCGGCCAGCAGCTGTGTGCTGTGTCCCAGTTCCAGTGGCGTCCAGCAGCTCCAGCCCTGAGATGAATGCTTGCCAGCATATGTGCCGAATAGCGCTTTGCACATTCATAACGCGAACATTATGCAGAGGTTCATCAAATTTTATTTCCCTTCCCCTCTAAGGAGAACATTTCCACATTTCAGCTTAGCTGGGCTGTTCTATTTTTTTCTTTTTTTGTTGCCTTCTCTGCAAAGAGCTCAGAGCACATAGATCTCTGCACCGGTTGCTGGGCTTGGTAGCAGGCTGGCGGTCTGCAGTGGCCAGTGTCCCTGCAGTGACAGCAGGGGCCTGGAAGAAGGGGCTGCAGCCTCCCCTAGCCCCTGCTCTGACAGCTACTATTCCTTGGGGGCAGAGGGCTCTGTGGAAGGAGCCGCTCTTGGGGCCCCACCCTTCTGCCCCTTCACTGCTGTGTGGCCTGACAAGGTCCTGAGCCTTTCTGTGCAGTTCCTCTGCCCATGATGGGAGACCAGAACTCCTGGTGTCTCAGAAAGGCGCCGACCCAGTACCCAAGGGCCATGCCAAGTGCCGTGCCTGGCACAGGAAGGGCTTTGGGTGTGCATATGAGTTCCTGTCCCTTCTGCTGCTGTTCAGCTGCCCCCTCGCCAGACTGTGGAGTGAGGCGTGAGCCTGGTCACTCCCCTCCCAGGCTGGAGACAGAGCTGGCGTGTTAGAGGCGCTGCCGGCAATTGCGCTGCTGTGCTGAGCTTGGAGCTGAAACACCTCTGAATCCCCCACCTTGACTCGGCTGATCTCCAGAGTGCCCCTACGGGCTGTCAGCATCGCTGTTGTCCCCATTCTGCACATGCAAAGTCGAGGCCCAGAGAGATGAAGTGATTGTCCAAGGTCACAAGGCAGCTAAGTGCTAGGAGTTTAATCCCAGGCCCCACAATCCCTGTGCTATGCGAACTCTTGGGCCTGATTGCTGGGCTCTGCCCAACATGGGGTCCCGGCACGTGGGGGTGTGGGATGTGCTGCAGCTCCAGGGAGGGGAGGGGAGAGCGGGCCCTGAGTGCAGGCGTGGCCTCGAAGCCCAGCATGGCGCGTGCTCTGGGGCGGGAGCGCCACCTGCAGTATTATCCAAGGAAGCTCTGTCAGCACTCTGCAGCTGTGACGGAAGACGTGAGACCATCAACGTAAAGGATGAAAAGGTCACCTTGGCTCCCGGATTCAGTCCCTGGTCAGTGGCTCCGTGAGGCCTGCAGTGAGGCAGAAACCTCTCGTTGCAGCCAGGTGTGCTGGCGGGAGACTGAGGCAGGAGGGTCTCGAGTTCAAGCCCAGTCCGGGCAACTCAGTGACTCAGAGAGACTCTGTCTCAAAATAAAAAATCAAATGAGGGCTGGGGGATAAAGCTCAGTGCAGAGGCCCTGGGTTCAGCTCCCAGGACCAGAGAAAGCAAAAGCGTGGCCGAAGGGCATGGCTTAAGGAGGCTGCTTCCATGAGAGCCAGCAGCTGGGGGGGGGGGCGGAGGAGTGGGGGACCAGGTACAGCCCCCAAGCTCACACCCAGGCGCTCCCCAAGTGGGCGTCGCTTCCGTGTCTGTCACTGCACAACGATGCCATCGAATGCTCTCGTCACCAGATTAATACACTGAGTGGCATCAGAGCCCTGGGACCCAGTCACCTCTGGACCCCGTCTCTGAACACGGCCGTGCCGTTGAGTAGGTTCTCAGAACCTGAGTCTTGGGGGGCACCTTCACCCTACTCCTCTGCCTCTCATGCTATCCTTGGGGCCCAGGGACATGGGGTACCCCAAGGACACTCATGGATGGAAGGGAATGAACTGTCTTCTCCCACCCACCCCCTCGCCCCCAGTCCTGCAGTGTCCTCTAGGCATGTATCCTGCAGGTTTGAGGAGCAACTGGGCAAGTTCTGAATGGCTGTGTGTGTGTGTGTGTGTGTGTGTGTGTGTGTGTGTGCGTGCGCGCGCGCGTGCCTGCCCATGTGCACCTAGAGGGCAGTGCACACACATGTGCTGGCTTTGTAGGGACCCCCACACCCCTGACTCTAAGCAGCTCAGCTGTCCCCGCTCTGAGAGGCAGCTGTATGGAACTATCTCAGTCTCACCCTGCCTGCCGTCCCCAAAGAGGGCATCTTAATCGTGGGCCTCCAGAGGGGAGGGTGGAAGTTGTTGAATGAAAGGTAAATATTTGCAGATCGGGGCTTTCCGGAATACTTAATCCTCAGATCTGGTTTAACAGCTCCAGGAAGAAAATGAGACCTGTTGGATTGGACTCTGGAAGGAGTCGGGCCGCACCAGCCTCGCTGGCCAGAAGCAGCCAGAGGGAGGGAGGGCCCCTGCTCCTGTGGGCTGCGGTCCCCGCGCCCCCTCCGCTGCCCGGTGATGGGTCTGGAGCGAGTTTCAGCGTTTATTTACTCGTGCTTTCTGCCTGCCCTTTTCGGCCTGGGCCGCCCGCGTGCAGGCCGCTCATCTCCCCGCTTCCCACAGCTCCGAGGCCGGCTCCGGAATGCCGGCG